AAATCCAATGTTTAAATTATGGACAATGTTATGCTCATTTTGTATATTTTTGTTACTTTTCACTCTAAACTCATTGCTGGCAATGGTATCGAAAAGCGCTCACAAATGCTATCCATTGTTGTGTTCATTACTAACCACACATTCACTGACTTATAGACAGAGACTGAGAATCGAGTCAATGATTAGCCGACTGGCGGGTCCTGTCATTGGTTTCTATTGTCTCGACTTATTTCCCATGAATTCCTATGAATTCTCACAACTCATCCTCATCTGTGTCTTTAACTATCTATTTATTGTCGGATTATTTAAATAATTTAGTATTACTTTATATTACATGAAGATATTGTTTAAATATTAAGAGTGCTAGCTTATTGTAAAGTAAACTTCTATTTTTAATATTTATTTATATAATCTGTAAATTACAACAAATTTATATTCATTTTAATAATCTATGCTTTATAATTAATATTGTATAATACTGTATATACCCAATTAAACACATGCATTGTATCAGGTGTCTTAACTTATATCAGCTAACTTTCAATTAAAATTAAAAATATGCTCAATTATACAGTATTATATCAAGTAAAACTATACCAAAATGTCTAAATTTATTAATATTTTATATAGGATTCATAAAATATTTATAAGATAATACCCTGGTCATAAATTAAGATGAGTTGCTTAAGATTTCGAGAAATCAAGAGCTGGAAGGGTATGTGTTTATCTAAACCCTATGCATTGCTAAGAATTTTGATTGCCGTGGTACTACCTGTCCCTAATAATGTGAGCTCATGGTTTTAATATATAATTATAATTTTTAGGAAATAAAACGTGCTTAATTCAATATTAACAAGAAAATTCGTCATCCACGGTTATTTACTAATGAGTCTGAGCAGGCAACAATTATATTATTGCCATAAATGTTTTGTCATTAAATGGGAATTAAAGATATGAAAAGTTTTCGTAAATGTTAATTAATATTAAATTTGATTTTATTTCAATTTAATGATTAGCTTGGTATGTTGGTAGTCTTGCAGTTGATATGCAAAATATCGCAGTCGTAATCATTTGTACAAACGCACTGTCCCTTCACACAAAATGCATACATTTTCTGTAAAATCATTAAAATTAATATAATTCAAATTAAATACAATTAAAATAATTAACATTTTTGCGACAATGTATTAGACACTGAGCACTTGGTACCAGACTATCAGGATCATTAACACAGTCCATATCAGCCACACAGATATACAATGAATTATAAATTGTAAAACAAACTATTAAAACAATAAATAATTTCATTTTGCTTATAAGCTATAGAAATACTTTTGTATTAAAATATAGACAACTATTAATTTGATTATTGTACAAGCCACTATTTATATAAGTTTTAAATTAAGTATTTTTGGCAAAGCAACTATTTTATTCATATTATTAATAAAATTGATAATTACCAGTATTTTCTTGTGTTTAGTAGGAATCTTTAATATTTTATTGTTGACAACTAAATATTAAATTTTGTAGTGTATAACGTTTATGATTTTAAGTTAGAAAGATTTAAATATTTATTCGTCAGCAGTAAAATCTCAAAAGCTTTTTCAGATAAGTCTATATTAATTAGACGTGAATACTACAGATATAAGGTTTCAGTTATGTATTTATGGTTAAACAGCTATAATATTTTATACATGTTATTAATTTGTTAATTATATTTAAGTGTTTTGTTTAATTTTAGATAGCTGTGGTGACTTGAATAAAATATTTTCATATTTTTGATACTTTCCAAAGTTATAGATGATAACAACAATTAAATATATTATCCCGATGTCATATCAGGAATATCCTCATCAAACAAATTGACAAAGGTTAATTGCATATAAATTATATGGTTTGAGATATTATGTCAACTAAATGATAAATTTATCAAAAATTTTTAGTTATTATTAATACAATATATAAAACCTAAAATCTTAAATCTATTATATCATTTACTGTAAACCTTTTACGACAAATATAAAATAAATTATTTCCATAATAAAAATTTATTAATTATTTTTGTTAATATATTTCATTCTACAATTAAAGTAATCAATATAATTATCCTGGTCACTTGCTAATCTAGCAGTTGATGTGTAAGATATCGCAATTGTAATTATTAAATAGTATAAACGCACTGTCCCTCCACGCAAAACCCGTACATTTACTACAAAATAAATTAAAAATGAGATACTTTTCAATAATATGTAATTAAAAACAATTACATTTTGACGACAATATGTGCGGCACTGAGCACTTGGCATAAGACTATTCGGATCATTCACACAATCCTTATCGGCCACACACGTAGAAAATAAGTTTAATATGAACAAGCATATTACAGATAGTATTACCGTATAAAGAAATTGATTTTGAGTTAAAATTTATTCGACAAATTTTAATAATATAATGCTCTTTTAATCTAACTTAATCTAACTATTGAATTTATACATTTATTTTGTGACATTTCTACATTATTTATCTTATAATTAATTTATTTAAAGTGTTTTGCTTTGCTTTTTATATAGAATATTTCATTATGTTACAGACAATTTTTGATAATAGTGTTTTGTATTTAACAAAAATTTGTAATGAATTAATTATTAACAAAAAAGTCGTTGTAAAATGATATATTTTATATTAAATATGATTTATTTTGCAAAAGTATAACATACTGGATATTCTGAAATATTTGTAGTTAAATATTTTAAGATTCCTAACCATGTAATTAACATTTAGGGATAATTAGAGTTTTAATATTAAAATAGACTATTTTAAAGATAATAACTTTTGATACTAGTAGTTACATTTGACCATAAATTATATTTAATTAAATTAATTAATTATAATACATTTTAATTATTTTTAGATTTAATGTAAAATTGTCAATTACTTTATTTTAAATGTTTTTAAAAGAGTAAATAATAAAACAATAGTAATTTGAAATTGTTTATCCGGTACTCTAACCAGCTAAAACTGGTTGTGCCACTCGGTTACCAATTCCGCACATATTCTTATTCTGAATGATCCGCACATAACCTTGCTCACCCCAATTTGGGCCCCAACTATATGTATAAATATACAGTATTACATAAAATATAATAATTTTCACAAAACTCATACGTATTCCTAGCGATCCAATAGTCGGTACCATTTTCCGTGCCATAGCCCACTAATAATAACGAATGATCCAGGTCATCCATTTTATTTGAGCAGTGAGCATCATCTAATATACCACCAGTGTAAGTCTGCCATGCCGCTGTATTAGCATTCACATCTACCACTGCGGGTCCATTCCATAAGAACGTGCTCAACACGTCCTCCTGGTCCCCATGACCTGTGTTGGCCCAACCTCCCAGTGCCGCCACTACTGTCGCATTTTTACTACACTTATGAGTGCACTGACCGGTGGAGGGGTAGGACACCTCGGAGTCAAATTGGGTGCCATTCATTAGATATGCAAACACGGCGTACGAGTTGAGGTCTTTACGGGTAGCGTTGGCAGCGCACGGACACCAATGGTCAACTAGGTGGTTTGAAAATTATTTTATACGTTATACGAGTAAGTTTTAATAAAATTATTTTTAAGTTTTCACAGTTATATTATGATATCACTCACGGCAATCGTATAATTGTTGCCTGCTCAGACTGATTAATGTACCACCGTGGGTAATGAATTTTCTAGCCGATATTGAATCAAGCACGTTTATGATATCTGCATCTACGCATACTTTCTAAATTATTTATTAAATAATGTATAAGTTATTTTTTATAAAAGGGTTATAATTACATATGAAAACTATGAGCTCACATTATCAGGGACAGGTAGTACGGCACCAATTCCAGCTCTTGATTTCTCGAAATCTTAAGCAACTCATCTTAATTTATGACCAGGGTATTATCTTATAAATATTTTATGAATCCTATATAAAATATTAATAAATTTAGACATTTTGGTATAGTTTTATTTGATATAATACTGTATAATTGAGCATATTTTAAATTTTAATTGAAAGTTAGCTGATATAAGTTAAGACACCTGATACAATGCATGTGTTTAATTGGGTATATACAGTATTATGCAATATTAATTATAAAGCATAGATTATTAAAATAAATATAAATTTGTTGTAATTTACAGATTATATAAATAAATATTAAAAATAGAAGTTTACTTTACAATAAGCTAGCACTCTTAATATTTAAACAATATCTTCATGTTATATAAAGTAATACTAAATTATTTAAATAATCCGACAATAAATAGATAGTTAAAGACACAGATGAGGATGAGTTGTGAGAATTCATAGGAATTCATAGGAAATAAGTCGAGACAATAGAAACCAATGACAGGACCCGACAGTCGGCTAATCATTGACTCGATTCTCAGTCTCTGTCTATAAGTCAGTGAATGTGTGGTTAGTATACTTGTGTTGTTACCTATCGTAAACACTCGCGAAAAGCTATGGTAACGCAGCAATGAGTTTAGAGTGAAAAGTAACAAAAATATACAAAATGAGCATAACATTGTCCATAATTTAAACATTGGATTTGTCTCTCGATTATGCGATGAATATAACAGTAATAAACAGCAGGGTATTGCTATAAAATATAAAATAAAAACAATTTTCGAGAAAAACTGATTAAAGGTATGAGTGATTCGTGTGATAGAGTTGTGTTCAACAATGGTTCGCATTAGACGTCCGTTGAGTTCATATTTTGCCCAAAACTCTATCCGACTATTGATTGCATCAAAACTGTACTTCAAATGTAGGGCTATTAGGATGAACATACAGACGCCGATACATAATAAGGTATATAAGTGAATAAATGCCATAATTGTAATAAATGCCCAGAATATAATAGATATGAAGGTGTAATTATAATGATTGTCAAAATAGTCAATAATTGTAGGTATTATTGCAATTAATGACCAGATTGTTGTATTTACATATATTAATGGAGTGATAAATAAATTCATATATATATTGAATATTAGGTTAACTTTCTGAGCATTTCTGTAACTAATGAGTAAAACGGATCGTTTGTGTATCATATCATTGATTACATTCAACATTAATAATTTGTTTCTATATTCATAGATATAAATGACCATGCTTACAATAATTGTAGTCATTGATGTTAAAAACCCTAACAAGCCAACGAGTTGTGAATTTCCCAAAATATATGCTTGGTCAAACAGCAACTTATGAAACCAGAGTTTATTGAAACTATTGGTACTAGGTGATATTATTACAATTATTAAAAATCTGATTGCAAATATAAGTGTTATAATTTTGATGATAATTATGATGACTAAACGTCTAATGCTTTTAAATCCGGACTCGTATTCATCGAAATCCACACAAATCGTAAAATACGAGTTTTTGCACCACTTTTCCAATAGTGATAAGAAATGACCAGGGTCGTACCAGTTTTCTAGTTTAACACCAAATATCTTTTTCAACAAATATATCACTAATGTTGATATCTTGTTGTGGAAATAATAATATGGATTCATTTTAAAGTTTATATAATATTAATATGATAATATTCTAGTAAATAATATTTGAAATTAATTATTTAACAGATATACTAGTATTTTAGTACTTATTAAATATAAAAGTAGATCATCAATTGAGTTTATATAGCTGTTCTATGTAATTGAAAATCAATATTTTAATCAATATATCGATATCAATGTGAATTATAAAATAATAAATTAACATTTAAAAAAATTTTAAATCTAATAATTATGAAATACTTATAAAAATTTAAAAACTTAATATTAAGGATCATAACGGTTGTCCCAGAGTATTAGCACTATTTAAATTAATATAATATTAAAAATATTTACAATAATATTATCTTAACAAAAATTATACCACAATGTTGCAAATTAATATTTTATGTGCGATTTATAAAATAATTAAAAAATGCCTACCAAGGTCATAATTTGAGTTTTAAGCATCATGTCTGTTTTGCGTAATACTTTAGTAATAAAACTGTCACTGAATGCTCTAATTAATGCCTTGTATTCATAGCGCTGATTTTTATGTATTAAAATTAAAATTATGACCAGAGTAGACATTTTCTGAGTATATTATGAATCGCCCATAAAATATTTATAAAATCTCAACATTTTAGTATAGTTTTTTTTAATATAATATAAATATAAATATTTTTAATTTTAATTTAAAGTAGTGCTAATACGTTGGGACACACTTTATAATATAAATGAAATACTGAGCTACAGTAGTACAGTATGCAAGTTATACACACGCAATTGTGTTATTGTTTTACAAAAATTTTAATTTTAATAGAATTTCACGATTTTCGAAAATAATTATAGAATTATTTTTAATGTTAGTTTGAAGTATTCTATAATGCCATATTAATAAAAATATGACTGGTCCAATATATGTAATGTACAGTATATTTAATTATTTAATCAATATAGCCAGTCGACTATCATAAATTGTGCAATACTTTGTATATTTATAGTAAAAGTACGAAATTAATACTTATTTATTTAAATACCTATAGATTCTTATATGAGAATCAAAGCCATAATAAGTTATTAACTCAGAGTCACTCTTATAGTAATAATAATCAAACCGTTTTACTAATTGTCGACTAAATCTAAACCAATTAACATTACCTTAATTAGGCATAAATTGACATAATTTTCAGATCTAATGTCAAATTATTCTACTCTCGATTAAAATAATGAATAATTTTTAATTTTAAAGCAATTACACTAAATATTGCTCTGACATGAATTTAATTTTACGGAAAATGCTTATGGAGGTGTCGTATTACGTCTACTAAATTGGCAATTTTTAATTAAATCAATAAATATTAATATTATATAATAATAAGTTAATATGATTGAATATAATTTGTTGACAAAGGTAGTATTATCTAATATTATTAAAAAATATTATCTTTAAGACAGTCTATTTTAATATTAAAACTCTAACTACCCCTAAATGTTAGCTACATGGTTATGCATTCCAGAATATTTAATTATTAGTATTTCTAAATATGCAATATGTTATAATTTTGCAATAAAATCATATTTGCACAATATAATATATAATATTTTATTTAACAAACTGTTTTTTGTTAACAATTAATTCTTTAAACTTTTTACTAAATTCTAAACAAAACACTTGAAATAATTTATTATTATAAGT